CTAAGCTACAGGTGAATCTAAAGGCTATGGTGAAGCTAAATGCTAAGTTGAAGCTAAATGTTAAGATGCAAGTGAAGCTAAAGGCTAAGGTGAAGCTAAATGCTAAGGTAAACCTAATAACTAAGCTGCAGGTGAAGCTAAATGCTAAGGTAAAGCTAATAACTAAGCTGCAGGTGAATCTAAAGGCTAAGGTGAAGCTAACAGTTAAGATGCAGATGAAGCTAAAGGCTAAGGTAAAGCTAAAAGCAAAGCTGCAGGTGAAGCTTAAGGTTAAGGTGAAGCTAATAACTAAGCTGCAGGTAAAGCTNGCAAAGCTGCAGGTGAAGCTTAAGGTTAAGGTGAAGCTAATAACTAAGCTGCAGGTAAAGCTGCAGGCAAATCTAAAGGCTTAGCTGCAGGTGAAGCTAAAGGCTTAGCTGCAGGTGAAGCTAAAGGCTTAGCTGCACGTGCAGCTAAAGGCTAAGTAAAGGAATTCAATCATCTGGTTCTGTTTATTCAGATTGTTTAAAGTTTCCAGAGCTGCAGGAATGAAAACATYTTTACATCGTTTCTATTTAAAGGAGGGTTTGTGTTGTTAGCCTGTTAGCTCGAGCTGCTCTGACCTCACCTGCACGCAAAGAGAGGACTTCCTGTTTGAGCGGAGGAAGCAGGAACAGAAACATCAGATTTGAGGACAGAAGAGTGTTTTTGTTTTTCAGGTTGTGGTCGGAAAGAGACGAGCTAACAAAGTTTTCCTGCTGTTTTGTATTTCACAACGTTTATCAGACTGTGAACTCTTCAGCTGGTTGAATCAGACCTTCAGCTACTTCTGGGTTAGCTCTCCTTAGATGGGTATCACATTCACTGCTTCCTCTTAAAAGCAGAAAGACGCTAGATGCTAAATACTGTAGGTGAAAACATTAGGTAAAAGGTGTTTAAAGTTAGAAGCTAAAGCTAAAAGAAGCAGAACAGTAGTCGAAAGCTAAAAAAGCAGAACAGTTGCCTACAGCTAAAAGAAGCAGAACAGTAGCTTAAAGCTACAAAGCAGAACAGTAGCTTAAAGCTA